TTGCAACTCATATTCCGCCAGTGTTTCGGCATTCGCCATTCATTGCAGGCACGCGGCGCGCCGAATAGTCGGTGCAATGCAATGTACTGCATTACTGTCATACTGATTGCTATACATGACTAGGTACAATAATACTGCAAGCAGGTCCGGAGACAGGGCGTTGTGGACACATTTTGCTTGCAGCGTCAATTTATTTTTCAGCCCTGATGACGCCTTTACCAACGCTAATTGCAAAATGTGAACCTAACCCTCTTTCTTACCAGCTCATGCGATACGCTCCTCCTACCACAAAATGGCGGCTATTTGGTTTCGCAAATTTGAAAAGCATTCAGTTTAAATACAAGTTTTTATAAATAAAAATTATTATTCTGCATTGCTAAATAAATATCTTCCGTACTACCAACAAAAACATCTCAAATAAAATGCAGTAAGTAATATACCGCAAATCCTGCACTTAAAAAGCACTAATGAAATTTTTGGTGTACTTGGATAAATATGATAATATTCCGTTTGAGTGGTTCTAACGTTTACCATGAAATTACTCCTTAAAGTATAGTTTATAAGCATTTATATTCAGGGTAAACTTAAAAAACGCTACTTACGGTATGTTTTCAATAAATAAACACCGAAATCACCAGCCCAAACAATAACACACACGATTGTCGTGACGTATTTTTGAAGTTGTTTATTTTTTTTAAATGACAGACCCAGGCATTAAAAACTTTATGGTTTGCTAGAGTAGTTACCGAAATAGCAATTAATATTAGTTCGTTTACCTGTTATAACTTCGATATCCGATAAATCGGTATAAAATCATCACCGGCACCTCTAGGTGTGGTATGCGTCTACGGCTGCATGTATCGCGTGAGCGGATAAGTACTTAACTATAGACAATCTTCGCCCCATAGTGTCTTTGAAAGACAAGTTTTAAGAAATTTACATTCTTACCCTTACGATTACCACAAAGCGTACGACTTGTTCATCCCGTCACTTGATATCACAAAAAGGTACATTACTGATTATCGCAATTGTAGGGTCCCAATCTGAGTCTAAAAATAACTCAAGTCCTACCTAAACCTACCTACCTAAATCTAAACCTAATTCGAGTTTTGAACAAAACTCGAGTTCCAAAACTCGTCTCGAAGCGACTTCTACTCTGTGTCGAGTACTAGAAGTAAGGTTCAATTTTACGAATTACATAAATAGAATCGCTCGCTGGGCTCGTAATACATCGAACAGTAAGTCTCTGTCTTTATGAGTTGAGTCTGTAGACTCCTGCACTCGCGTTTTTTTTTAACAATAGTCCCAGTCCACAATACGTAACTGCTATGCCCTAAGTCCGCCCATGTCCTGATTGCTACATGTCAGTCATATTACTGTCGTATAATCACAGCATTATGCATTGGGGCCGTGATATATGAGCATTGTTATACGTGAGCTCTATCGTTGATAATTCTGATAGTTCATTTGGGGAAAAAGAAAACAATGTAAAGAAATCGACGCACCATGAAAGATTTCTACAGGTTTTTACTATCTCTGCAAAACAGATCCCTCTAATACGTATTTTTTTTTATATCTAGTTTCGGTTTTCTTGTCAAGCAAAATTAGCGTTTAATTAAGTGTCAATTAAAAAACAGTTTAAAGCAAAAAAAGAAAACTTTTGGTGTCGAAAGTTACCAACACGCAAATGCATTGTTTGACTTTATGACAAGAGAGCAAAACAGGTTACCTGTAATTTTTGCCTACGTGCTGTATTTTTAATAATAATAATGTTAATTTAATTTTTTCTCGTGATAGTTCAAATTTACTGTTCTTCACAAAAGATAAGTTCGCTGGTATGGGTCGCCACATCATATTATTAAAAAGGATGGACGTAGATGGTAGAGTGAAATACGTTGATTTAAAGAGACATGTTTATTGTTCGGTCTCCAGAATATAAGTGAGTAAATAACACAATATAAAATAAAATGTAAACTTAAATGCTAACCAAGCAATACGCACCACATGTTGCAGTTAGACTATAAATATAGTCTATCTATACTACATAGGACTCTCGTCGTGAAACACTAAATATTTATCACCAGTTTCAGGTTTCTTACCACGGTGTGATGCAAGACAATAAACGTTCGGTACCTGCAATGAAACCAGTATCCCTCATGTTGCGCACTTTCCGGTAACCGATTTCAATTAAACTTCGCAAATAGATGTAATTTCACGAACTTCTGTGGCCGGTTTTTTAATACTCTGTACTGAGATGGTTCCTTTAGAAGCTCCTCCTGTAAACTTAGAATTTTCGAGTTAACGTAGTATTCATTGGAGGTATCTTTATCTGTCCATATAATATGTTAACATTACGAGAACGAGTACACCTACGCTATCTAAATATCAATTTCTCTTGTAGCAAGAACCTTCTACGGTTGAGATCTTCCCAATACACAAATTAAAACAATCTTCTTACATCGTATCGATAGCATACACTATAATGCTTCCCATCGTGGTGAAAGTACAGACATCGCTGAAGCTCCCTTTCATGCAGCCTAAATAAAGCAATGCCTACTAACTTGAAAGCCGCGGTAAGCGTCCACACAGTCTGATGACAAGCTTGGATATCAGCACAGCACTCTAAAACTCCACGCAAAGCCGCGAGCCTTCGAAGATAGCAGAATGATTTTATTGATAGCAGGGTTACTCTTCTTTTTCGAAGCATTCTTGACAGAGCGGCCGTCACAGACATATAGCCAAATAGACACGGCAATTGCCGGGATCTGTATAAAAACCAAGCGTGCCTCCGATGTCGTCACAACGGCTATCTACTGAAGGGAAACCTTAATTTGAAAGCTATGGTGTTTTTGCAGTGGCATAATTATGTATTTATAAGGTATTTTTTTCGTTTTCTATTAATAATAATAATAATAACGCGCACACTCTCCCCGCGCCCGCACTAGGGAAACCCTATATCGCGGGTGCTATGGACACACACATAGACAACCACAAATTACACCCAACACACGAGAGAAATAAATGTAGGCCATACAAATATATCTCCCGGACCGGGACTCGAACCCGGGACTGAGGCAATCGACGTAAAAATTATGTTCAACTACAGTAACGGCCGGGCGCGTTCTGAAGCGTAGGTTTATTTAGATATATAAGGCCGTGGTCGTCACGAAATATATTTGTCAGGGACCTATGAGGCTCACCTCATGATATCTCACCATCTCTCTCTGTCAGTGGTCTCTCGGTGCACTCATACAAAGTACGGCCCATTACAGATATTATTTGATCGGTCCACCGCACAGCACCTTCTACTCTGCCTTGCAGGAGACCGAGAGAAAGAGAGAGCAGGAGGGCTATACATGCATTAAATCACTTTGAATCTTCAGTTGACAATTGCATCATCCTCTATACCAGAGTTTCCCAAACTTTTTGTCTCGCAAGCCCACATACCAATTTTTTTCTTCATTGTACCCCCTGCCTTTCTGATATGGATTTTTTTACAAATCGCTCATTTAGTGCAACATTGACTTAATTGCAATTTTGGCATAATTGAATTAAGACTTAATTAATTACATATTAACATCCTTTATCCAAATTTGCCAAAATTACAATTACATCAATGTAGCACCAAATAAGCGAAATGTGCTCTTGACAGCTAACAGAGTCCTACTTCAAACTCAATAAATAAAACACATGCTAAATTTTATACATTTATCGCACTGAATATAACTCCATATCTTGTTTGTTTTGAAATATTTATTCAGTAGTTTTATTGTGTATCTGTTATAAGAAAGTATTATGTAAGTACAATGTATGGGGAAGTCCCCTAGTGGCGGACACCTAAGGTTATAAGACATTAAATAAAAAACTGGTTCTAGGAATGTAGATTTGTTTATCAATTAACAATGTCATCAAATTTTAGAATCAAAATAATGAACAAAAGTACAATCTCTCCATAAACATACTTAAAAATATAAATCAAACTTTAGCAGTAATAAAACATAGCATCTTGAGTGACGCAGATTATTCCTGCCAAAAGCAAAAATCTACTGCTCCCACCTTGGTCTCGCGCGTCACAAGCAAACCGTGTCTCGCGATCATCTCCTATGCCATTTTCACCCGTTTTTTGATCGAACGCATTGCGAGATGTCGAGATAGTACGAGTGTCCGACGTTAGGTGCCGTCCGGCGTTAGGGGGACTTCCCCCTAATGTGGATTATTCCATTCACAGAAAGTCAAAGCTTAATCAAAAATCAAGTCTCGAGACGAGCAAGTCGTGTATCGTCTTACTTTATAATAGAAACAATTACACTAGTGTCGTATTCCTCCATTTACATTTTTGAATCAGCGCTATTTGTTAAGAAATTAAATTGCAGCAGTGCTAGGCGCAACAAACAACTACAAACTCCGCTCACAAAAATGCAAACGTACAAACCTATAATAAAATACCTGACACAATAAAACAGGAAATACGTTATAAATCTTTTTACAGTTACGGTCACGTAAGATAGTCTTGACATGAGAACAGGCTAGATGCGACAGTCGTCCAACGATAAAACGTTACGACGTAATGGGAACGTGCCCTTAACACATGCATGTAACTACCTACTAAAATATTTCCAAGGTTGTTAATCTATACCACCCATCCATGTGAGATGCTAAATAAATAAATAACAGATGCAGTGCTACTCAGAGCTTTAATCACAAAGATCTGAGGTATAATGGCACTACGCCTGTCATCCTGATAAGTCTCATGTGCCTGTCTTGTAGATTGGAGTGGACCCCTAGGGGTCAATATGTTCAATACTCACCAGTTTGAGAATCATTGCTTTACACCTGCAATAATTTGACGCAACACCCTATAGCATAGGGGTAAATCACCATAAATATTTAGCTCGCATGACAACGTCGCATTTTTAACAAATTACATAGAATTCCATTAAAGTCAGAAGTATAAAATAGAGAAAATTTTTTTTTTACTTATTTAGTATAATTCTGTGAAAATGTGTGAGCATTGGTTTTTTAAGTCTTTTTTCGTACTTGGGATTATTTTGCCCGTATTAGGTGAGAGTTTTCTGTGTTAAGCACCTTATGAACACAATTTTGTAATTATGATATTTTTTTATGATACCAAGTGGCGGGAGACGAACAAGACGTGAGCCTGGGTAAGCGACACGCCTGTCAATATCTGTTGCAGTGCCACTTAGAGCTTTAAACCACAAAGGTCTGAAGGGCACTGCCGCTCCGCCCGTCACCCTAAGAACATAAGTTGACAAGTCCCATGTGCCTGTAATTTCACCAGCACCCTTACCCTTACAAATCGGAACTCAGTAATGCTGACATTACTTCTAGGCGGCAGAAATAGGTAAGGTGGCAGGCAGGACCATTTATCTTCATCATCTTCCCACGTCGCCGCTCTTGTCAGAGAGTCCTCTATGGACTTAGGAGCAGAGAGTACATACAAATGTGTAGATAATGTAGATAAATTTAAGTCGTATTTATTTCATATGGAGTTCTTAGGTTTTCGCAATTGTTGCACATAGGAAATGAAACTATTTTTAACCGACTTAAAAAAGGAGGAGGTTTTTAATTCGACTGTATTTTTTTCTTTTTCTTTTGTATGTATCAAATCTCAGTATTGGTCCCATTTAAATTAAAAAAAAATATTCCAACTCTAAGGGTGACAAACTAGTTTATTTTTTTCATAAAAAGTTATTACGGATGTAAATCGCGTATAATTGTTTTTTCAAACAAACCAACGTATCGGGCACTTTGCAGGATCTATGGTCACAGCTGTCTTAGATGGTACCTAATGTTTAAAAAAAATTTTTCGCGATATTTGGTTCGCAAAAAATGGCCTCCGTGGTCGAGTGGCGTGCACACCGGTTTTGATGTTGTCGCCATCTCTGAGGTCCCGGGTTCGATTCCTGGCCAAAACCAACTTTTCTGTATTGTCTCGGATCGGAGTTTATTTCCGATTTCCATAACACAAGTGCTTTAACTAAGTTCTTACTTTGGGATCAGCGCAACGTATGTAATGGTGTCTAACATTTATTTATTAAAGCCTATTCTAGATGTACATCATTAGGAATACCTAATGCTCGATAATATAATAAATTTTAATTCTTGTCACTTTTTCTATTTCCATGGGTAGTATAATACTTTACTTATACCGCCTTAGAGTGAACCAGGTAAGTACGTGCCTAATTTTGAAACCTCCTGCCTAAATAACTAGTCTATATTGGATTACCGTCGGTTTCTTCAATTGCAACATTATCTACAAATTAAAAATTTATTTTAGTTAGCTAAGCAGGTAATTATATGTCCAAGTTTCATTTACATTGTGCATCTAAATAACAACATAATCAATCACTTTACAACATTGTGTTTACTGGTTACGTCACGAATTCACGAGTTTAGTGACGTCATATCTCTATTAATAGCACGGAACTGTACCATACGATAGCGGCGGATAATTTCGACGTTGTTTATCAAGTCAGGATGGCCGAGCGGTCTAAGGCGCTGCGTTCAGGTCGCAGTCCACTTCTGTGGGCGTGGGTTCGAATCCCACTTCTGACAAAGTTCGATTTTTATTGTTTTTTATTTTTTTTTATTGTTATTGATATTGATTTAATGTGAATAATGTAAAACATATGCGGCGTGTTTTTTTTTAATGTACCTGCTCATGTATGTGGTGTATGTACAAACGACTTATTAATATTATGTACCGTACAGAGGTGCGTAATGCACGGAGAATAGATCCTCCTAAGAATACGTTGTTACCTTTATCATTATTCGTAAAGAAATGGTACTTAAATAGATACACGAATTTCAATTCATTGGCACCATAAAATGTTCTATTACATATCTCTATACAGTAACATCAGAGTTCTTCACATCCGAAGATGGACGAGAAGACTGGGAAAGGATAGTAGGAGGAACAAAAGCGAAGAATGGTTCCGTACCTTACCAAGTATCGTTACGAATTTGGGGTGTCTGGCATTTCTGTGGAGCCTCAATCGTCACTCCTCGGGTGATATTAACCGCTGCCCACTGTGTTGATAGGTATATACTACAATTTATTTAATTGTTGTCTTTATGTACACTAAAAACACAAATTATATTGTTTTGTGAGAACATACAAACGCCTGTCAGAATAAAAGAGTAAAAATGAATTCGTGCCTTTGGGAATAATTTTGCTATTAACTTTTTGTCAGGTGCTAACTAAGTGATTATTGTTAATTGTCCCCATTGTGCGAAGTCTCTTCTTAGTTCTTGTTAAAAATCTAATTTTCGTTTATCGCAACAAATTTAGAACAAGGACAAAGTTGTTGGCTAACTTTCGGATCTCTTTTAATTTATTTTTTCAAGAGAGTAGCGTTTAGTACCTACTTACTATTCGTTTTAATACTTTTCCTTAACTTAGCGACCAAAAGACGCCTTTGAGTTCTCTTCTGAACCCAGCTTGCTAATGACTTAATTTTCTTGTTTCCTAGGCTCAAACCCGAATACTTCACGGCTATAGTTGGAACCAATCAACTGCGCTCTGGCGGCACGTCGTACAAAATCCGCAAAATTGTCAAACATGAGAACTATGATGATTATGTTATTAAAAACGATATTGCAGTATTGTTTACTCAGGCAAGTAGTTTTGTTCATTAACTGTATCCACAGGGGATTCTGAATTCCAAGTACAAATAAAAAGTATCTCTATAGGCAGCTAATAAATAATATTTTAATTTTCAAATTCAAAGTACTCACAGCAAAAAAATCGACTACAAAAGTTTTTGGAATTAGGTACACTTATTTAATGGAAAGTGGGAAAAATCCAATCAATCGTATTCTGCTCCTAATTTGTCACTCTTAGGGATAGAATATTTTCATCAAATTTAAATGGGACCACTAGTGAGGTGCCCTCTTTCTAACAAAAAAAGAATCATCGAAATCTATTCATAATTGTCGGAGTAATAAAATTTTTGAAGTGAGTTTAATCAGACAAATGACAGCACTGCAATGGCCACGGAACTTTTTTATTACACAAAAAATATGTAGTAAATATAATAAACTTATTTAATACTTATTGTTTCTTTACTTACTTATTCTTTCTTTTATTTATTTTTTGTATATCATCTAGTAACGGGATGAGCAAGTCGTGCGCCTGATGGTAAGCTATACATGTGTCCATATAACAATTGCAGTGTCACACAGAGTTATAAATCCCAAAGATCTGAGGCACACTGCCACTGCGCCCGTCACCCTGAGACATAAGTTGACAAGTCCCAAGTGCCTGTAATTTCACCAGCACCCTAACCCTTCAAAACCGGAACACAGTAATGCTGACATTACTGCTTGACGGCACTCTTTCACAAGGAGCTCTACTGCTCTAGACTGTCTTTTACTATCAATTTTAAATACAGAACAACGAGATCTTCTTTACTACGTAAATATAACTCCCCTCGCGGAATAACTACTCCGGCGACCACTAAGGCAGTTGAAGCAGGCTCCAGGTAATAAACATAATATGACGGTTATGTCCCTTTGGAACTGCTTAATTACCAAACGCGTCTAAGTATGCCTTATGCTTGGAGACTGCAGCCTGGTTACTTTATCCGCCGCCTTCGTCCTATACAAAAGGCTATATGGTACTTTAGTCTTGTCTTGTTAGGGGCGATTCTTCGTCGTAAATTTTACGCACTGTGACGTCACGGAATGCCTGCCCCAGTATTTAATTAATTAACGTAATTCTAAAAGTAGGTTGAACTCGGTACCGAGAATACATTTACTCGCACTTCGTACAATTATATTTCATACACAGACTTCTATGATAATTTGAACAGAGACAGAAACACCACATGAATAAACCGACGTGCATATATAGTTGCCAATAATGTAAGCTTATTTTTTATTACAGGATGAGATGGAATTCGGAGACAAGGTCGATGCTATAGAACTTAACGACGAACCTGTTGAAAAGGGTGAAGAACTACTTTTAACTGGCTGGGGAACTACTTCTGTGAGTATTGTATTTTCACTACATATTACTTTTCTTTGGAACCAGAAGATATCTGACTAATAGGAAGATAAAGAGACGAGGGCCGCTTGCAACTATAGGGAAGTGTGAAGTACAACAAATAATGATCAAATGGTCTTATTAAATTAATACCACAAAATTCCATTTTATAGCAAATAAATGACTTTGTTTTAAATTATAGAAAATGATACTTTCATAGCGCCATGAGGATCTTAGCACTTTGATGCCGTAGAGATTATCTGACGCACCACATCAACTTTAGAGCTGTAAGTCTGTCTTTTAACGACGTCCAACAAGGGGCATGACATCGCTATCAGGACGAAGAAAAAAAACAGCGCGCTATATCATTACAAGACTGACACGTTCATAACACTTTTTTTGCTTTCTTGGCTGCCAGTTACCAGCTGGACATTAAATGAGCAATATATTTTATTTTTCATATTCAATATACAGTATCCCGGCCGCATACCCAACGATCTAATGCAGCTGGAACTACGTTCCATCACATACGAGGAGTGTAAGGAAGCTCACAAGAACATCAACCCTGTCTTCGAAACGCAAGTCTGCGCTCTCACTCATGCTGGAGAAGGCGCTTGCCATGTAAGTGTCAGACTTCAGCTTAGTTGAACGTAGTATATATTTCGCTTATTCCTAATCACAGACCTTGTTCTTAATAAATACTTCACTTAAGCCACTAAGGCATGTCTTCGAGGATAGAGTTTGCCTCCCTATGCCTGTTCTATCGCCTGTACAATGGCCAATGTTATGAAGAACTATTTGACATGATGGCAACAGCAACATTTTATTATCGCACCGCTCACTACCGCTCACTATCGCACCGCTCACTGTACAGTTTCATAAGAGCTTCTTCGCATGTAAATTAATAACATGGAATCCTTCAAAAGGGGTTTGAAGAAGTAAAGGAGAAGTTTTAAAGGGTTGGCAACGCGCTCGTAAAGCCCCTGGTGTTGTAGGCGTTCATAGGCAACGGTGACCGCCTATCATAAGGAGGGCTATATGCTATTTCTATGCGTTTGCTGCCTATATAACATAAAAAAATATTTTAAATAGTAATTTTGTTAAAAAATAGTTGGCGCTATTTATAATTGTTTAATATTATAATGTACGAAGAAGGTACTGTCTTAAGTGTAGCTAATTGTCCCACTTATGCTATGATCCCCCATTTGACTTGACATGTAAAAATCTAAGTTCAATTTAACTAATTGATTAATAGTACTTAGTTCGATGGCTATTGCAGGCAGAACCCTGTAATTTCTGTCCACGTACGGTACTTATGCAGTGGAATAAGCCTTCCATATGTGACAGTTTAGCATAAATTGGTCGTTAAGTATTTTCCGACCTCAACTGGTGTTAAAATAGACTAGAGTTATGTTCCAGTTGTTGATATCTTGTGAATGCTATGCTTTGATACTCCCAAATTATGCCAAAAATAGGAATTACCTTCTATCGCTGTTTTTAGAGCCCAAAAATAAGTCTTCGAATTGGAGATTGTTATTCCTGTTTCAGGGCGACTCTGGAGGTCCACTTGTGAGAGAACTACGTCAGATAGGCATCGTTTCTTGGGGCATTCCCTGCGCAAGAGGAAAACCTGATGTTTATACTAAGGTAACTTTCAGTTAGGTCGTCTAGAGTCCAAAATCTCTTTCTATTTTCAAGTTAAAGACCCAAGAGTTTCGAAGTATCATTTATTTGAACAAATGTGATTGATCCAAATACTATAATAGCTTCATGTATTGAATAGCCCTTGATATCTTATAACTTTATGAGAAAAGCTCTTAGAGTTATTCACTTCCTTGAGAAAGAGCAATAGAGTTGAAAATGGTTTCAAATGTTTCTAAATTCGTTGACAGGGAAACCTTTTTAATTGTAAATATTAATATCAATACGAATAAGAAAGGTTTACAGTTTAAGAGTGGTTACACACGGGGACTTTATAATAGGCGATCGCATCGATATAAAACGCGACCGCATCGCCTATAAATCCCAAAGTGTAACGATGCAACCGCGCGTTTGTTGCAATGCAGTCGCGCGCTTGCATCGCGTTTGCATCGTTGCTTAAAATCGCGCGCGTGTGTAAAGGTAAACGATGAGCGACTGCATCGCTGCTTGGAGATTTCAAACGCACACACGCTCAGCCACGATCAGAACTGATGTTAAACGACTATTATATGTATAAATAATACAAGATTTTCAAAATGGCCACCGAAAAAATAATTCCCGCCAACAAAATGTGTCACAAAATTCAATTAATACAGAAAAATTACAATGTAAGATCTGGCAGTACAGCTAATGAAATACCTTGGCCTGTCCTGAAAAAAAACCTATAATAATAATAATAACGAAAACTACAATTTAGGGCACTCTAGCCTTGAACAAAGACGCAGTGTATTTCATTTCTTTGCCGCATGCATTAGGAATAATGATTGCGCTACGTGTGAAGGGCATAATATATCAAAGACACAAGAAATAGAGTGTTCAAGCTCTACGAGTACCAAGGGAGGAACGGTGTAGAAAAATCCGTTAAAATGTTGTCAACTCTGCTCTAATGTCATTTGTGTTCTATCTCTTTTCACTAGGTGGAAGCCTTCATGCGTTGGATAGAGAAGACACTATACGATGACGACGAAGACCATCTTAAATATCTCCACAAGAGAAGAACCAATAGACATAGGAAATCAATAATTTAATCAACTTTGACACTTATGGAAAGATATTAACAACGATATTGTATTGTACTTTTGGGCTGATTTTGTTAATTTTATTGTTATTTGTAGGTACCGTTGTAAAATTATTGCATTAAGATACAATTTGAGCATTGTACTATTCGACAATAAAGAAGAAGAAGTTATTCAAAGTTGTTCAATTTGTTTTTGGCGTATTTCCTCATACTTCCGGAGACATATTTTAACAGCAGTGAAGCTCTTTGTGATAGAGTTCGTCCAAAGAAAGCCACTGTATAATAATTTATTTCTGCCACCAAGCAGTAACGTAAGCGTGAGGGTGCGTACAGATCTGGCGAATGCGCCGAGAACACGCTTAAACATCTGAGTGGCACTGCGAGTGTTATGGGTAGCAGTGCCCACTTTAGATTTAGATGCAGGTGCACATAGATACAGCGCCGAGCGCAAGGAGCCTGCGTCGTGCGGTTACACCGCAAAGTACAGTATAAGTATGAACTAACCGCCACGGGTTGGGAAGCCGCCTTAAGTGTGAGGCCAGACGAGCGTCATTTTTTTTCCTTTATAATATAAAGGAACACTATCCAACCATTACAATTATATTTATCAAAATAAGCTATTTCTATGAAACTCAAATCATCTTAATTCATAAGGTAAGAAAATTACACTTGAAATCTTCATATTGAATTCCCCTGACAAAAATGAGCAAGAAACTAGGGGTTGCTCTTTGTAAATATACATTTGAATACATTACCATTTTACAACATTTATTTCCTGAGAATACATGCAAGTGTTAAACGGACCACTATCACGGAATTTTATCGTTCAAGTATCTACGTAGATGCTGCATAATATATTAATAACATTTAGTATAATAACAGTCACGCCACAATGTGAATTTTAATTTGATTCCGAAAACGGCTACCGGACACCTACGTTGCGTCACACGTCGCGGTCTATACGTGTAAATAAATAAATAGTGTCAATGTTTTATTACATTATTATGTATGTTAGTCTATAAGGTATAAATTTATGGGTTTTTGTAACCTAAACATAAATAAATAAATAAAAAATTGAAAATAAAGTTTTTATTTCACTATGTAGTTTTATATAACCGACACGATAGACTTGTACATTATAAATTTTTTCGACCTTTTGGTTTTTAATGAAAAGGTAGGTAAATTAAGCCAACATCTTAAGATTTTCTTTTTATTTATAGAAAAAATATAGTATTACATGGTAGGGACATGCATAAAATCTAATATCACAGATATCAGTCGTGGGTTAGACAGTTGTTCCTTTTACAAACTTTGAAAAAAAAAACAAAAACACTCGTAGACATATTTATATAATGTAATTACACTGCGGTATAGGGTATAAGTGCCAAGAGTTCTTTGAGGCGTTTTGTAAGGCTTGAATGTCTTCTAGTTTTTGCCTGTAATCATGTTTCATTTAAAAACATACCCGACGAGAAAATACAATAACTCCACATACCGTCGGTCTATAGGCAAATTCACTAAAAAGCCAAATTGATAATAGAAATCAAGATTTTGTGTTTTACTTGCAAACGTTAGATATCGTAAAGTATTTTTATCGAAATGCAATTTTATAATGAAGGACACTACGCACTTACTAAATTGTTCTATCGTAGATGTTCTCTCCAATGAAATAAAACTCTTTAATAAAAAAGAAATCGACCTCAAAAGTCCGTGGAACTAATCTATTTGCCAAGTTTTATTGTGCGGTTACCGGAATAGTTTGCCACCTTTAGAGGTGAAATATTTTCTTCAAATTTAAATGGGACCAATAACTGAGGTATTCTCTTTCCAATGAAAAAAAGAATCATCAAAATCGGTTCATAAAGTAATCGCGTAACATACATACCCGTCCTTTTTTGAAGTCGGTTAAAACTCCTTTTTAAGCAGAATGGGACTTAGTGAGTATTACCTTTTAACCGACGATACTATTATGAAACCTTAGAATAATAACACATAGAATGATAGTTTCATATCAAACGAACTGTCACAAGTGAGGTAAAAATCAAATTCATGTAGGCTAGTTTTAGTAGTATGTGAATTTTCGGTTTTAGTGAATATTTATATAAAAATACTAGTTGAAACGCGTTACTTCATTGTGGAAAGTGATGTTAGTATCTATTTTATGTTTGTCTGACGTATTTTTACACTCGTTTACCGCACATTTCGTCATGTTTCGCGAAAATTCTTGATCTGTTCGCGGTGCAAATTGACCTTGAGCACTGAAGGCCCGCCCGCTCGTGTAGGCCCATTGGGTGCGCTTCAATTTGCCTCACTTAGCGTGTGCGGACTAGGTTTCTATGCGTTATTATTCTAAGTATGAAGCATTGTTATATATTTGTACCTATGATAAGTGGAAATCGCAGAAAAATGCACTTTTCCCTTAGGGCGCTTTCAAATTAGCGCCACTTTGAAGTTTCATACAATATTTAGAAGCGCAACTTCAGCGTCATAATTGCGCCACGCGCGCGCCACTTTTGCAGTCACAAAATACAGACACGCGGCGGGCGTGCCATAGTCACGCCTTCTAGCGCTTCTACAAGCATCTAATTTGAATGAGTCCTTATATACATGTATTGAAAAACAATGGATACCCGGGCGTTAAGGTTGTTGCAAACTCTTGACGCTTACGCCTACATCTGCGATAAACCATAAAAAAGAATGTCAACTGGTTTGCAATAACCTAATTACTGCCCTAGTAAAACAATATGCAATAATATAATTGCTGTATGTTTATAATTTGAAATTAGAATTGTAACACGCTTTTAATTACACCCTGGGTCATTGATATTGTAGGCGACTTATTGTAGGTTATTATTATCGAAGCTTTATTTATAGTATAATATTAATAATGTTCCAGACAACCACGCCAATTACCTGGTAGAAAATTCCCTATTATATGAGTACCAAAACAACGGAATTTGACAAAAAAAAATACCAAGATTTTCCAGAATCAATTTTTCTAAATTTTGATCCCATTGACCCTACCGGGAATCGAATCCGGGAGTCATCTAGCTCCCACAATAATTATTAGGGTCCTACGTATGTAGGATAACTAGAATAAAAAAACTTACAACTAAATCAGTCATGCATGCTCTTCTCTCTTTTATGACAACTTCACTAAAACTACTACCCTACTTCCCTCTCTCCCTTTATCTCAATATATACATATATATACATATATACACATATATATATCTTCTCTTCACCACTTTGTACTACTATCGACCTACATAATAACATGGATAAATAACTCAAGAAGACTGTTAATTGCAATACAAGACATCGCTGTAGGGTATTTAGTACCTATCAGTATAGGTATATATATTTAACACCAGATGTCGCGACGAGAACCAAAAAGCTATTTTTGTAACTAATTTGTTTTACATTGACAAGTTGCAATTTATCAAAGCGACTTTCGTTTCTAGTGATAACATCCAAATCAACTAGATGGCGCTTATTGCACAATTTTTTATTGATACTGCCGCCTATTCTTTTATATTGTTTACAATTAACGCCATTTACCCACACTAGGAAGTATTAATTTATAAATTAGTTTGCATGTATACATACAATCTTAGAATAATAACGCATAGAATGATAGTTTCATATCAAACGAACTGTCACAAGTGAGGCAAAAATCAAATTCATGTAGGCTAGTTTTAGTAGTAGGTTAATTTTCGGTTTGAGTGAATATTTATATAAAAATACAGGTTGAAACGCGTTACTTCCTTGTGGAATGTGATGTTAGTATCTATTTTATGTTTGTCTGACGTATTTTTACACTCATTTACCGCACATTTCGTCAGTTTTAGCTAAAATTCTTGAGAAGTTCGCGGTGCAAGTTGACCTTGAGCACTGACGGCCCGCCCGCTCGTGTAAGCCCTTTGGGAGCGCTTCAATTTGCCTCACTTAGCGTGTACGGACTAGGTTTCTAAGCGTTATTATTCTAAGCATACAATGCCATTTAATGACGCAAATTTATCAAAGTCAAGAAAATTATTTAAACTCAATATTTGCATAATATTACAAGGAAAATATTTCATATCAAAGAGGATTTAGTTGATATCCACGGCCATTTACATAATATAAAATACTTCCAAGCTATTATAAGACGGAATATTGACTTTTTTCAGAGTAACAATCTGTAGTATGGAGAACAACAGTCTTCTTTAGTCATTGGTCCATGATAATAGGTTTAAATTGCATGCCCTTTTTTGGTATATTAACTTGATATCAATGCGTTCAGCAAAACATACATTACTTAAACTTATCTACAACTACAAATTGGTATTTTTGACTTATACTCCGTCCAACCATATAACTTTTGACATATGCCTCCGAAGTTCCGCAATTATTGACATACAACCATAGACAATGCAATACAGGAGTATTGGACTCTTTATTTTTGTAATTTTAGTGAAGCGACGTGCTCTTTATCTCCGATATTATTCGAGTCAATATAACGAAGATTATTCAAGCTGATAAATTTTGGTGTATAACCAAAAAATTATAATGAAATTAAATAAATTATAAATAAATAAAATGAATTCTTATTGTTTATTATAATGAATCGACGGATTCTTCTCTATATGAACGGGAATCATTTTTTGAATCGTCATCAACATTAATTATTAATTCTTGAGTACACAAATTGTCAAACGCAACGTCACGATCCCAATAAGACAATATCTTCTTTTTTAAACACGCTCACATTCACGATTAACACTTGTACATAAATAAAATCGACTCTTATAAAAACGAATCTGACACGCATTAGGACGTCACTAATTGATTAGAATTCGAGCTGTCAAAAGTTAAATAAATGGACGAAATATAGTTGCAATTACATAGAAACACACAAGAACACAACATTTTTGTTTATCTTTTAGTAACAAGATCACTTTCTTGTAATTTGACAGAGTTAAAATAAATCGCGCGCTGAAAATAATACTGTCACTAAATTAAAATCTTGCTTTTCCAAATTGACACTTATTTTCAAAAGCATTAAGGTTCATTTCCTGAAAGGTAGCTTTTTTGTTCAGTGACGGCATAGGTTTCAATGTCTGATATTACATTAAATAATATTACGTAAATCTCGAATGGATTCTTTACCCCACTGGTACGTTACATGACTAAAAATCACAATATTTAAAAAATAACATTGAAAGACATGTAATGTAATGTACGCTGCACAGCTATTTATATGTGTAATATCAAAATTCTCCACAGAAAATTCAACCTTATATAACCATAAGGTTTAAACTGTTAAAGGCATTATAGAAAAATAGCTTTAAAAAACTGAGGAAAATTTATAAAAACGTCTCTTACATCATTTCTAATATATAAATGGAAACAATAACTAACATGATACGCAATCTAATCCAAACATAATCGAAGAACTCTTGCACATCCTCGTTATACAAGTATTCATAAACGTCCCAAGTCAAGCCTTCGCTGTTAACTTGTCGGATATTTTCAGATTCAAAATCTTTTGAAAAATCTCTACCGAATATGCCAAAACTTAGTATATCCCCATCAGAAGCTTCAATAGTCATTTTTTGAGACATTTGTGAAGTTTCAAATTTGAATTTAGTGCTCAAAATATCGTTTTTGGCAGACGACAAGATAATAGGGAATTGGGATTTGTTAGGGCCGCTGAAGTTGCCCGTTACGGTGATTTTCTCGAAATGTAGGTTCGTGCTGTTGCTTTCCGATCTGCAAATGAAAAAAAAAATGCATTATTAAATAACGATTATTATTTTAACAATATTCATTTTATTGCACATTATAATGTTTTTACTGCATTGATTAACGTGTATTTTTTGTGACCAAAATGTACCTAAACAAAATGGATAACCGACCAAAAAATATATTTTAAAATGGTAGTTTCCTATTTTTGACGATAAAAATGTTGAGAACTACACGCGTTTAACGAGTGTAGTGAACCTTCTTCGACATACAGGTTTGATCACGATAATTTCTTTCATAGAAAAGCTCGTGGAAACTCAGAGATGCGAGGCCGGATTTGAACCTGCGGCCTATGCTTGAGATGCGGTAGGTTTAAATCATAAGGCTATCACAGCTTCAGAGCTTTTGATAATACTTAATTATTAAACATTAGTTAATTAATAAATTTAATACAGAATTAACAAACTATATTTCGTTTTAAAGTTGCCGTAATCCCATAAATTATACTCGTATATAATAATCTCTTGATAAAAATCAATTGCTATGTGAACCATGTACACATTACGTTTATCAAAAACGTGATAATTTGCAGGTGAATGTTATTAACGATTGTTTTAAATTAGTAACGTACTATCGGACAGTTTCATCAAGATTGAAGGTGATATTATAGATAATTGTTTTCTCGAACTTGACTAATTGACGAAGTGGTTAATCGGATTCGGTATTTCCAATTCATTATTATTAGGAATATTTTAAAAAATCTTGATTTTCTTTTGTTTCATTTGATATCTTTACGCATAGCAAAACTAAACGGGCATAGCTAACACAATTGCTTTTTTGTAACTTTCTTTAATTTGAAAAATGTCGATAACGCTGATTTTGCATAACAATAAAAACTAAATAAGATATAAAAAACCGATTAGAAGGGTAGATATCATTTTCTGATTCCATTTCTGTTAACTGAATTTCGCTAAATTTCGATTACTGAGGCTACTGAGGTTCAACTGCCTCCGTGGCCGAACGGTTACCATGCCGGACTGCCATGCAGAGGTCCCAGGTTCGATTCCCGGGCCGGGAGAAATATTTGTATGGCCTACATTTATTTGTCACGTGAGTTTGGGTGTAATTTGTAATTGTCTATTTGTGTGTCTATGGCACCCGCGACACAGGGTTTCCCTAGTGCGGGTCTATGTCGAGTGTGTGCGTTTGTGCGTTATGATAGGGACAGTCCCATATCTTTCTACATTACTTTTGATATAATCAAAGGGTCGGTAGGGACCCTCCGTACCTTAAGGTATACGAGAAGGACACTATATCCTGTACGCACACAGGAACCTTAAAAGTTCTGGTACTGATCCCAGATGAGCCAGTGTACAGGGTCGCCACAGACCATCTGTCACTTGACTTCATCCGGTTCTTCGAGAGCCTGGGGTGAGCCGCCCCGAGTACACGTACAGTAACCTCCCTATTTTCCAGATAGGTACCGGAGCTGTAGGCACGCTCCCTTCCCGTCGCGCATTGCCCAACCGCCACCGCTAAGCCGTCGACTCTGAGTCCACTACCAAATCTCCTCATTGGTGGCGGAGCTGTAAGGCACGCTCCCTTCCCGACGCCGAAAAACGATGTCTCTCCAGTTCCCAATGTTATGATAGGGACAGTGGTAGGAGGTAGCGAGTCTATGGTATTTTATTACGGACTGCCACGCAGAGATCCCAGGTTCGATTCGGGGCCAGGATAAATAATTATATCGCCTAAATTTATTTCTCTCGTGAGTTTGGATGTAATTAGTGGTTGTCTATGTGTGTCCATGGCACCCGCGACATAGGGTTTCCTAGTGCGGGGCTATATTGAGTGTGTGCGTTATTATTATTATTACACAATATATCAATTGCTGGTGGCAGTGATAATGGATTCTTTATCACTGCACCAGGGCCTGTGATTATACAGCAACAGAGATGGGATCTTAACCGAGTTTTTACCCAAAGCGCCAGGTTTTAACCCATTACAGCACAAAACGTGGACTGAAAAGGCGAGTACGAAATTTCATATAATTCCATACTTATTACAAATTTCGATGTAACAAAACCTTGCAATCCTGTGGATTCTCACTCCTAAGTATGCACATAACGAACCGATTTTTATGAAGGCCGTTGCAAGTGGATACGACCTAACGATTTTGTGTATCGATTTATTTCAATATAATTTTCTATTAACACTAAGGCAAATTGAATAGTCTAGATCAGAAAGCAATAAACATTTTCGAATCACAACAAAATATTTAAGTAGTTGTAAATTGTATTTGCCCTCGTTTCGTTTCGGGCATTCATTGGTTTTAACCCGATTTAAACCCAGACGCTTGCTCATCTCTGTTCAGCAACAAGGCAACTTAATAATGCATAGATTTATCTTGTTTTCGTTGTACCAATAGTATACCATTCCTAGACCTAATTATTTAGAAGAAATAAGGGAAAAGTTAATGACGTTTGAAACTCAAGGTTGGGGCACTGTTGTAACACCAATAAGAGCCTAGCTCTTAAAGCCTGTTAGTGATTTGCCCTTTTTTGTTAATACTAGGTAGTGTTAATGGGCAGTAACGAGTGGTCAAATTCATTATTACATACCCAGTAATGCCACCAGGTTTATAGGCGAAAACTGCACAGCTCTGAGCGCCGATGTGATAGTGGACACCAAAGTGGCGGGCGCCGTTGAACGCTGCTAGACCGTAGCTTACTTCACTTGGGGTTGAACCTGAATGAGACAAGAAATCTTGATTAAAAATAGTAGTGTCCTTACTGAACTGTAAGCACTTCAGTAGTAACAGCCTGATTGGGAAACCCTGGGTTTCCGCTAAACTCCAGACAAACACAACGCCTCAAGCTTTTGACATACAGGTTTTCTTACAATGTTTTCCTTCACCCATAAAAAGTAAAGCTGATAAATTATAATATTAATGTTAATCTCAAATAATAAAATGTCAATTGGCAATAATAATTATAGTTACCAATGAAGTCGCTTTTGATATAGAATTCGCAGCATAATTCATCGTGACACACGGTTTCAGTATAACCGCGAAGGCTGACCTCCACGTTTACTGCTTTGACGGCGTACAGGTGCAGTGCATCTTCGCTGGGGTATGATTTAGTCGGTGGAACTACTGGTGCTATGGTTTCTCCTGCAAGCAGTAAAGTTAATGTCACAATTGAGCTTCCAAATACGTATTTGCTTTTCAAAGAATGAGTCGCACTACGAAGTGTCAATGTCGTCCAATAACACAAGGGCTAAGAGACTTGTTCTCTTACCTGAATCACAGTTTTTGTGGAGTTCCACAACAGACATTTTGCCCGATCCAGACTTCAATCCAGCCTTGCCAGCGTAGATACCCCCAGAAAATACCAGGTTAGCATTTGTGACGTATGCCCAAGATGATGAGAACTGGGAAGCTGGAAGAAATAACATTGTAAAACTTTAATGTTCCTACATTTTCAGCATGTTATAATCCATTGTTGGTTATAAGCCTAAATTCCATCAGAAGTTTCGGTTACAAACGCTCTTTTCAGGTCGTCAACCCACCTATCTGGAGAGCTTTCTAATCTACGTTTGGCGATACGCGGTATGCACATACGATGGCCCAACTCAAGTATCGTGGTATAGTTTTGAAAGTAGTCTTCCCTGTACTTCCCCGTTCTTTACAATGTTACCTTTATTAATCAGCAAGTGGACCACTATACAAGTACAAAACAGTACATGATTTAAAGCCGACTTAGCAGGGCAGGGTCTTGTCGGGGATGAAAACTGACTCCTTCTTTGTTATTGCAAGGCAAACGTTCTTATACTTGGCTGTTACAGATATATAGCTAAACACTTACCGCTCAAGAATGGTATTTCAGACCGCCACTCCCCAGCGACGATATAGTTCTTCAACGACCTCGGCTTTTTCAAAACGAGGTCCTCCTCCATCATCAGACCGAAAGTTACTCCGAAGTCAGTTGTGAACTCAATTATTTCCGATGGGGAAGTAGTGCAGTTAGCCCTTTTGTTTAAAGGTTTTCTGTAACTGTGGATTAAGAACCTTAGTCATTTGATGTAATTAATCTTTTCTAGATATTGTGAGTCTATAAACGTGTATTAAAATCTAAAATCCTGTCCATATAATAGGTGAACACGAAGTAACTGAAAAGCTTGTAATCTCAGTACAGAGTACTAAAAAAACCGACCTCAAAAGTTAGAGGAATTACACCTATTTGCCAAGTTTTATTGAAATCGGTTACCGGAAAGTGCGCGAAACCGGATCCATCCCCTAGTTTGCTACCCTTAGAGGCGGAATATTTTCTTCAAATTTAAATGAGACCACTACTGAGGCTCTATCCAATAAAAAAAGAATTATCAAAATCGGTTCACAAGTTCCGGAGTCCGTGTAATCACAACGCACGTACAAAAAATACAGTCGAATTGAGTAACTCCTCCTTTTCTTGAAGTCGGTGAAAAATATAAGCCTACGTTCTTTGTTATTGAAATGGTAGACGTGACCATTCCAAACCCAAAAGCAACATACATCGATATTGAATCTTGGACAATAAGCAGAGTTGAGGAAACGGTAAATCCTACTTACACAACAATGACAGCCCCTCGCCTGTCGAATACCAAATTGTTTCTGACCACTTCACTCTCGCCATGACAACGGGTCTCCTCGTATAGATGGGCAACTACGTATATCTTGTTCTCTTTCGCTGCTTCAGAGAGAGTTTTGACTGCCTGTGGGCAAAAATTTTGTAAGTAACGTGTCACCCTGTCAACCAGCTCCTCAAAATATGTAGTACAACTAAACAAGATTTCTATATAATAAAGGCATGAGCGCAGTCGTTGTTAGCCTTACCCAAGAGGCAACTATATTAATAATAATAACGCACACACTCAACATAGCCCCGCACTAGGGAAACCCAGTGTCGCGGGTGCCATGTCACCAATATTTCTCCCGGTCTGGGAATCGAAGCTAGGACCTTTGCATGGCAGTCTGGCAAGGTAACCGTTCGGCCACAGAGGCAGTTTAAATTTGGGATTAAACAGATTAACTATGGGAGCTTGTTAGTTAAGGCGAGACGAACAACAGTGGTGGTAAGAGCTGGTGGTATACGACGCCTATTCACAACAGTTGCAGGGCACTACGAGAGACTCTGAGAGGCATCTCAGGGCTTGTAATCGCAAAGGTTTAAAAGGCACTGCCACAGCGCCCGTCACGCTTAGAAATAAAATTGAGAAATGTGCCTGCAGCCTGCCATTAGCATGTGCCATTAGCACCCTTACCCTTCAAATAGGTACAGTGGCAGTATTTATCTGGACAAACTCTTTCGTAAGTTGCTCTTCTGCTATTATTATACAGCATCTAGATGCTTTCCAAAAATAACTCACCTCATCATAATATTCCTCACCGTAGTTAGGTTTTTCTGGACTAGGTAGAACTAGAATATCAGCTTTCTGTAAATAAAAACAACCATAACACTTAATACTAGTTTGAATAAAAATAAAATTGTAATCAGTTGTGCTCTTTGCGTTGATGGTCCCAGCGGAAGCGAATCGTCTTTTTCACTCTTAGGCTGTTAACAGATTGACTGCATGTTTGTAGTCGAGGTCTGTTAGCAACCTTATTGCACGAACATAAAGCTTTTTCTGATCAGCTCAAGCTGATTCGGCTTTGATAAGGTGTGATGCCTCTTTTGGTAATGATAACAGTAGATACCTAAAGTGTTCATGCAGGGAATATAGATTTACTAATTATTAAGTACACTTACAGATTTGGCAGCATCCTGAATGAAAGAGACGTATCTGCCAAGGTCTACGGTTTTAGGAGGATCGACGACTACAGCCGCTCTATATGTGTCCTAAAACAAAACCAAACAAATTAATTACGTGAATTATATTTGTCAAAGGAAAAATCTGCGAATTATGAGGTTTTTTTAAATTGTTATGATCGACTTTCTGTTCTTGCGGTTTCCGGCTTTGAATAGAACAACACCTATTTTTCCGCGGGTGTCGTATAAGGCGCTTAAGTGATCAGGAAGCAATGAGAGAAAGAGAGCAATAAAGAGGAAACTGGTGGGAATTACACGCAAAGACCACAAAACGTTGCTCGAAAGCTTGGCTCCTGGTATAAGGCGGTCCTCGAATGGCGACCTTGGGGAAAGAACGCCACAGAGGGACACCGGAGATGCGTTGGAAGGATGACATAAAGAGTGACGGGGTCGAATTGGATATAGGTGGTACAGAACCGAGAGAAGTGGCAGAAACTGAAGGAGGCCTACACCGATATGGTTGAGAATGGCTAGAAAGTTTCTAAAGCAAACTCGACGTATAGGTTTCATCACGATATGTTTTCATTCACCGTTAGCGAAAGGTTGTTAAATGTAAGTAGCTTAGAAATAAAAGTAATAGGCACATGCTGCCACAAGGGTTCCAACCGTCGCACAGTTAGCAGAGAAACAAACGTTCTCTGACTGGGCAAAGAACACAAATCTACAACTCAAGCAACATTGGGCACAATAGACAACGAATTATGATAATTTGTACCTGGTTGCTACCAATTATTAATTTAAAATGGTATTGTGAAAATTAACAATGTACCTCCTTGTATTTGGTTTATTTAGAATATGACTGACAGTACTATTACCAACCACTCTTTTAAGGAAACTATTACAATCACGTTATAACTTAATAAGCAAAATGCGTCAGCTAGAATAATGGCGTGATTCTGTTTGCATAAATAATTGAAGGCCATCATGAAGTCACGTAACCTTTTTACCTAGGTTGTCTTAATGGCAATATGTGAGTGTACGATTCAGACAGTGTTTAAATATCTAGTGATTGCTGCATTAAAAGTGTATTTGAATCGTCTAGTGTACTCACAATAAAAGACAGTAAAAGAGCATCTCAGGAAACGTATTGAAACATTTGAAATGTGGGCCTAAAGAAGAATGTTGCACTTATCATGGACTTAGAAAGTCACCAATGACGAAGTTCTCTGACTAGTTGGACAGAAGCGTAAACTTTTGCAGACCATCAAACAGTGAAAAGTTACATATTTGGGTCATATACTTAGGCATGACAAATACGAGCTTCTGCAACTGATAATAACGGGAAAAGTCGCTGGTAAAAAGAAAGCTGGTCGTAGAAAAAAATCGTGGCTGAGGAATATACGAGAGTGGACAGGAATAACGAGTGCCGCGCAACTGTTCAGCTTCGCCAGAAATAAAGATAAATATTCTGAGCTGACTGCCAACCTTCACTAGTTGGAGAGTCACCTTAAGAAGAAGTGCACTCACTTTATTATGTAGTGTAGTTGACAGCCTTTAGCTATTCGTGGACTATGGTTGCAATGGATTTATCTGGTATTTCAGATTGTTTTTTAATAAATCATATATCACCATTGTACGAGCAATCGTCAAGCAAAATCATTGTGTAGAATACCTCGTCGTAATGTACCACACCGTGCTTCATTAGGCAATGTATAAAATAATTCATATTCTTTATTTGCAAGTTACATGGTTATGGCTAATGGTATTTGACATGTAACACCACGAGGGCGCACTGCAACATTCTGAGGACACTATGTCCTTACTTTATTAAAACATATAAATTATTAAAACAAAATTAGAAATAATTTAATAACAAAACTTTACATTATTTATATAAAACTAGGACTGATTAATAACAAAAAATTTTATATAATTAATATCTGAACTGTTATACACATTACCTAGGCATTGTATACAAAGTATAGGTAGTGTATAAATGGATGCCTGGTGTGCACGTAATAAGAGCCAAAAAGTCGTTGTGTGCTTTGCAAGGGTGGTCTCAGCGGAAGCGAAACGTCTCTTTCTCTCTTATTGCACGGATATAATGTTTTTCTGACCGGCGTTAAGCTAATTCTACTTTGATAAGGTGTGGTGCCTTCTGTACAAAAATATAGGTATTGTATAGAATGCTAGCTGTAGATTTAGCGCAGTAATAATTGAAAGACAAATTCAAATCGGTCATTACACGGTTTTGGGATTTGAGCAAAGTTGAGTGTTTCACCGCTTTTTCTCTCTTTTTTCGCTGTTTATTGCATAGCCTTTTCTGACCGGATCAATGCGATACAGTATCTACAAGTATGGTTACTACAAAGCTAATTACTATAAAGCCTATGTTGTCTAATACAATCAACAAGAACCAAATATCTAATTTTCACAACCAAATATCTAATTTTCACAAGTTGTTCGTCTATGGTTCACATTTATGCTTTTAACTTTCATATAGCTACTATTCATTATTACAATAAAATACCACGTCCACGTACAAGTCACCATTTAAAAAAACTTAAAAAATTTTCAAAAAATTCGTTAAGGTCATAAAAATTTGTTTTAAAAATGCTAAATTACTATTCCCATAACTGGTATTATTTTTATGATACACTGCGCCCGTCACCCTGAGACATAAGTTAACAAGTCCCATGTGCCTGTAATTTCACCAGCACCCTTACCCTTCAAAACCGGCGGCAGAAATAGGTAAATTTTCGACTCAGCAACTGTGACATTCTTTCGTGTATTAAACAAAAGAATATCACAATCACAAATAAAATACTATCGTTATAGAAAAAAATACAAATGCTTATTTCTTTTGCCTTAGTACCAAATTGCATTATTCACATTTTTATTGCAATTGTAAACCTAAAGTCGTAAAGTTTATGGTGTTTAGTAGCATAACAATTTATCACCGCTACAATGAGAAGACGGCGGCGTTCTATACAAAACTCAGTCTACGTGACCCTACTCCCGTTGAACTGAGGGATTTGACAAAGTCCCTGGCACCAGAAAGAGATACAATTTGTACGGTGTTCGATGTAGAATGAGTTAGAAAAGGACAGCAATAATAACACGTGACGTTCACGCTGCCGGCGCGTGTTATTTGGACGCGTCGGTTGATATGCGTTTTTGTGCAGTGGAATTTTTTTTTCATAGATAGTAAGCGTGATTTACATTTCTATATTAATACATTATGATCATGTATAGACTTAGGTATATCTGTTTAAGGCTCTTCGTTAATTTGATTTAAATTGGTAGTGGGTATAGTGTATCTAAATATCTAAATATTTAAACTAATTTAGAAGTTGTATGAAGCTAATATGAAAAACAAATACGTTATTTAAGGAAATAAAGACTATACTGTTTGAAATTGTGATACCTAAATATTGAAATTTTTAAAAAAGAAAAAAGAATGTCATTTGTACAATTAAAATAAAGAGTTTCTAAACGGTCATAGTAATAACATAACGATTTCCCAGAAAAAAAATCACAAATAAATTATTTAACAAAAATTAAGATCTAACATCTGGCAGTACCTATATCGCTAATTGAATGCCTTAGCCTGTCTCGAAGGACGTAAAATTTTGCAACTGTAAAAGAAAAGATTCTGAAAGCTGAAACAATTCTTTTTTATTGTGTATTGCCTTTTTTATTATACGAGGCTCTTTCAGAATGAGTCTTTTTATATAATTATTTTAAGGGTCGTATTCCAGAACTGTACTCAATACTCAAGTCAGGACTTGAGTATTGCAGTGAGCACTGAAAATCATACTCAAGTCCTTGCCATTAGGGTCGTATTTCCAGTGCTTGAAATCATACTCAAGTGTGCTTAAGTCCCGATTTGAGAATTGAGTTGAGTTCTGGAATACGACCCTAAGAAATACATGGTCATGACTAATTTAAAGTATGAATAACATTTTGTTAATTTGTATTTTTTTTATTTTGAAATTTGGTATACTTCTTGTTAGTACCTACAAATAAAACTAAATATCAAAGGCAATGTTTAAATTCTGCATTTAAGTTAACTTTCAATTAAAACCACAACTTTTGTTTAAAAAATAAAAATACTTCCGTGTAAGTAATATCACAAAATTAAATATTCGAAAATGGAAAAAAAAACGGTAATCCCCGGACTTAAGTTAAAGAATATCATAATTAATAATTTATAAAAAAACTTACCTTAACACTTAAGGTCAAGTTTATACACAATGAACAAATCACAAGATTAATTAGGCACTTCATTTTTCTTTTTTTTTTATTCACGAAATGACGGGCACCTGTGCTTTGCTCGCGACTGCTCCAGTCTGCATTTGGCGAGGGAGTGAATGCCGGCGCGCAGTGACCGCAGATCATTTATTTTCCAAACGAAGCAAAGCTGATTCATGATAATACAATAGTACGTATATGATAATACGCATCTACTCCGGGGAGGAAAGGACGTATACGCCTTTGTTGCTAATGTGAAAAACTTTGCATATTCTTTCCATCAGTATACTACTTTTAGATTGTGATACTAGGTAGTCAAGGAGCTTCTGTATATGTTTGAGAAGGTTTTTTTCTTAATTAGTCAAAGTCCAATAATCATTTATTCCATAGATAAATTTTTACACTTGAAAACGTCATTTTTTAAGCTACTGCTCGTTCACTACGATGACCTCCCTGAGAAGAACGAGCAAGAAACTCTAGAGATTGCTCTTTTCAAATGAACTTATATGCTATGGAATACTCTTTGAATCATAATTGTGTGGAATCTTGACTCTTCTTGTCTTTCCATACATCTTTATCTAACACATACTTTTCAATTTTGTAATCTGACTTTTCAATTTAAATACTTTTAATGTAAGTTTCATACTTGGGAAATGGTAATCTTAACATATTCCCCGGAACCTTATTGTAAAAACGTATACAGTTCCCCATAAAAGAATCGTTTAGAAAATATCAACCCCATATTGACAGGCTCCTTAAACATCATCTACCGTCTTCGCTTAATTTCGATGTCAACTTATCTGTATAACAATTATACTTACTCAAGGTTTTGTTATTTGTGAAAAAAAGTTGTTTTTAACTAGATAAGTATAACGATAAAAAAATATATAAACAAAAACGTTTTTAAATTGTGTTGCAACTCCGTCTTTAAACTACAGTTTGGCTGTTACGGCCTTTATCCACGGTCTGGCTATACATAGTGCGTATATGTTATTTCCCTTTGTAAATCTGGCGTGGCAATTATTTTATCAATTATCTACCTCCTGCAAATTTTCTGAAGATACCCTTATCTAGCAGAAATGGAAATATACTCGACTTATAAAGTTGGATTTAATTATTTTTTATCTTAATTTTATCGCCATCATGACCAACCCATTGTACGTCCCACTGCTGGGCACTGGTGTCCAGGATAAAGTTTGGGTCATATTGTTATGAACCGTCTTTGTCATGCAGGGTTCATTACAGGATTGAACTTTCTGCTGCGTCTGGCCTTACGGCATACCGATGACGCTGCTGTAGGTACCTGTCACGACTGCATTACTCCACGAAGTCTGAGGAGATAGTGGAGTACACCAGACTAAACACCCAAGGGTCGAGCAGTTGGAGTCCCGTCACAATGTAAATTATAATTCGTTTGTGGTGAGAGTGCCGATCGAACATCTCGACTCATCCGCAGAACAAAGTCTTATGTGCAAGACTATTCTCAGGACATAATACATTTCGTTCGCTGTTTTTAGCTGTGGATATTAGATCAACCGTTGATCGATTTTATATTTCCCAAACGAAATAATACATAAAATTCTGAAAACACCTATAGCTAGGCCTTATTTTGAATAACGAGAATTTTGTATTTATCCTCTTTTCGTTGTATAATCACATCGGACTCTGTTCTTCGGAGGAGTCCATCTGTCGAACTTCATGACGCAGGAGTTTTGGACGAAAAGTGTCGTATACCGACGATTCCGCAGCCGGTTGCACCAGATTGCGCCACACGTCACCGACAAGCGCAATTCGTGCCGTTAGTTTTTATGGTTTTTTTTTTCATGTAAAGAAAATAGGTATATTATTTATAATTTTCATTACAAAAGTTTTCTTCTGTATACACTACCGCAGTAAAGTACCTAGTTAGGCATGAAAAATATAAACAAATACAAGTATAATACAATAATTTCTTCATACAAGTTTAGAATTTCTCTACCTATTCCGATGTCAAATTATTATAATATACTTAGCGGAATGTTATTTCCCTATAGAAGCGCAGCTGTCCTTGTTATTATTTTTAATCTATTTCAAAAATAGGAGGATGTTATTATAATTAATACAAATATCGAATACCAAGAAAAATTAGTAATAATATATGTTAGTCCTTAAGGCACTTGTTATATGGGCCATAGTTGCTTGAATCAAATGAATAAATACATAAATTACGTTTTCCTTCTATGTACGCGCATATATTGTTGTAGCAGTAGAGCTCCTAGAGAAAAAGTGCGTCCAGGCAAGTACTGCCACCTTACCTACCATTTTTGTGATGGTGAGCGTTGAAATTTAATTATCTTGCCTAAGTGGACGGAACGGACGGTGGAAGTCTCTCAGTCTTCTCAGTCTTCTCAATCTTCTCTCAGCTTATAGCTTAAAACCAGTGATGAGGCTCCGCCCAGCACAGAGCTGAACTGGCTAGCCTTTTCAGCTATTATTGTGTAGGTACTTTAGTTTTTATACTTTATTATCTTCTTTTGTTTTTAAATAATAGTATTTTAATGATTGTAATATTATTTGTGAACAGCCGAATAAATGTTTCTTTCTTTTCTTTTAACACGTTCTTTGCCAGGCTAAGAATTGATTATGTGTGGTGGCCAAACATTTTTCAGTTTTTACTGTGCTCAATTTAAGTTAATATATTATTTATGTACGTTTACTATTATGTACATAGTATTTATGTACTTTAAATATCTATCACGCGGTACGGCGTGATTGACCATACATAATGCAATTATTGTCCACGTGATCGGAAACGCGATATCGCGTGATATGTAATTCGGTGGAATAAGTTATATATTTTAGAAATAAAAAACATTTAATATAATAATTATGACTATAATTATCAGTCTTTTATAATTACATTGTTTTTTTTTAAATAACGTACAAATACAAAAAATACTAATTATCAAAAATCAACATTTATAAGGAAGTTACTAGTTTTGGTTTCGTTGGACTAATTATTATACAATAGACAGTGGCTGGCGGCCATCCACACCACACGAAAGTCTGGTCCCGAATGGCCAATATAAATATTACGCTCCGTTTCGCTGTGGCCGCTATATTATTCCGCTTAGAAACTTGGTAGCGACGTCCACGCGACAACGCGTGGTCGGCCGTTTGGAGAGAGCTCGCATCACGCGATATCGCGTGAGTGGCAATTAACGTGTTAAGTAGGTCGCAAATTGCTGTGTTCCTTTCGAATACACTCCATGAGCATCATGTGTTGTTTTGCAGCAGAAATAGTTGAAGATGGTAACTGTCAAACCGGGTTTTGGACATACTGAGAACCCAAATAATATAATTTATTAGGTGAGTCGTTTTCAGATAACCTCCAAAAATATGTCCCTTTCAATAACTTTTATGTTATTACATGAATGCTAAGCTTTATTTATTTAATATGATTGCTTGCTTACTTAGTCTGTGTTACACATAAAAAGACTACTTTACTACGTCAGAGTAATAAATAAAAATTTAAAAAGTGGGCATTTTCTCATTCATGGGAATCAGTTACACGTCGCCCTAATTTTAAGAAAAGAAGAAAAAAAATTAAACACTCGTGAAAATCGCAATATTTCCCATCGAGGATAAACTTTAATAACTTTCACGTCGAATACATACCGTAACTTTCCAATTTATTATGGACAAACATGTTTTCTTGGGAATACAAAATGTTTTTCAATTTTTCTTATCATTAGTGTCAATTCAACTAAAAGCCTCCTAATAACAAAAGTCCATACCGCATCACCTTCACCCTTCGTACACGTGAGAAGGGGCTCCTGACGGATTGGAGTGTACACAGTGAAGTAACCTGTGCATCTCCGTTTTAGCAAAAAATCGACTTAAATACTAATTTCAGCGCTAGTGACTAAATCGTTCTCATTCATGTAAAGCAATCTATCTAAATAAGTATTAAGTAGTAGTTTTATAAACCTTATTGCACATCAATTGGACAAAGGGAACTTTAAAATCCATGCTCTTTTATAACGGTCCAGCATATTTTACACACTTGACAATTAAAAATGTATCCAAATATCATTATTGTCGCTCTCATTCTTGTCTATTTTTAAGTCAAATAGTTACTTTAAGCTTAACATTTACTTGAAATATAACAATTAGATGGTGATAATGGTGGGGATGATGATGACGATGATGATTGTAGTGATGATGATGATGATTATGATGATGATGTGAATGGTAATGATGCTGATGATAATGGTGATCATGATGATGATGTTGATGGTGGTGATGATGTACAACAAAGTTTATATGACATTAACAAAATGCTTATTTAGATTTATTTATTAATTACATTTAGATAGATAGATGGTCTTACACGGATGAGAAGGATTTTGATAGAAGAAGTCATATTAAAATATTTGTTACATGTTAAATGTTGTTAAATGTTCTTTTGTGGACGATAAAATGTGTGTTGTAATAATAATTTCTCATTACTGTGCTGTCTTTCTCATTTATGTTTTGTTAAAATCATTCGTGTTACTGCAATCTCATTCGTGTGACCTAAAATAAAGTTTTTTGTAGTTTTTACTTAAATATTTCTGTGATTTTATAATCATTGACATTGCTTGAGCTTATTTGCACGTTTAAGACCTTAAAACCAAAAGAAAAACGGGTTTTACAAAAATCACTCAGAAAGTGCCATTGAAACTCGGAAAGTGAAATTCACCCAGGTCGCCATGATTTATTTCATAATTTTCTCTGCCGTCCTTTTCGGTTCTCTGATACACTCCTACTAAACATGCCTCTCATGCCTTCGATTTTTGCTCCAACTAGTTTACTGTATATCTGCTAAACGGCTATAGAATTCTTTCCCTGTATGAAATCGACGATCCCCTTCTTTTGATTCTTTCAAATGACGTGTTAAGGACATCTACGTAGCTTAATTTTGCTTTTGCTTAGTGTTATAATCTTCCTTAGTTAATTTATTTATTATTATTACTATTTATTATGTATTTCTTGCCCTGCAAAATTATGTAAGTAACCTTATTATTACTTATTCAAGTATTTACTTTATTGTTGAATATTGTATTTTTACAAACCCTTTAATTACAAGAT